AAAGGGTCTTCTTTTAAAATTATGAGCAATAACAACAAGTCCAAATACAGATACTGTCTATACCTTATATAAATATTTTCTTTTTTTTTTTTTTCTTAACACCTTCTATCTTGCTTTAGACATGTTTTACAGTACAGTTGGCTGTCATCCTACCCGCTGTGGAGAATTTGATCAGAGTAGCCCTGAACAATATTTATCTGAATTAAAAAATCTGATTGAAAAAAATAAGACAAAGGTAATAGCAGTTGGAGAATGTGGCTTAGGTAAGTGCTATGTCAGTACTTCTTTTTTTCTGTAGACATCTATTAAAAAATCCTAAAACACTAAGTGGGTTTTTTGTTCTTTTTATTTGTAGATTTTGATAGATTAGAATTTTGCCCAAAGGACGTCCAGCTCAAGTAAGAAACTGTTGATGACTATAAATTGACTTGTAGCAAATTACAGGAGTGTTTTCTATCTTTATATTCTACCAGGTAACATTTTGTCAGGTATAGACCTGCAGTTTGCAGGGTTGGATCTGTTTTTTTTTTTTTTGGCAGAAATGGGACTTTAGGGAAAGGTGCCTACATTCAAGTAGTGCTGTGTGCTAAATGTTGCTGCCTGCCCGGTGTTGACTTAGCCCGTCCTTTTCTGTGAAACTTATCAGAATCTGTGGGTTTCTCGGTGTGACAATTCATTTTTACTAATACTCAAGAACTCTTAGAGACTCATGGGGATAATAACCTAACTGTAGTGTGTGAAAGAAGGGCATGGGGAAGGGAGCAGAGCTGTCAAAAAGGGTAAGTCAACAGCGGAAGAAAATGAGCTTCTAAGGGAGGCGTTAGCTGGAAGCAGATAATTGACAGCTGATGAAAAAGGTAATCTTGGGAGCTGGAGAGATCTGTGTTTTGAAGTAATATTGGCAGTATTGATACCAAAAGAAAGAAGCTAGCACAGCCCCTAAAATCAGCCTGCATTCTTATATTGTGAACTTCTGTCTACAGAGGGAACCGGCTGAAAGATGTGAGTGGTAAATGCAGAAAAGATGAGTGATTAATTAATTGCTCATGCATATTACTGTTTTGAGTAAATTAGTCACTGGGGGGCAGTGGTTAGTTGTGCTTTTTTCTAATTGCCACAAGTTAGCACTAGGTAGGTCAATTTCTTCATAATGCTGCAGTGGTAGAGTAGGATCTTCAGTAAAGTGGACAGAACTTTTTTTTCTTGGTAGAATTCAGTGTACAGTTCAGCAAATCATACCTTGGAACATAACCTGTTTCTTTTCTGTGGCGTACTAGAACACTGGTGGAGTATCATAGTTTAAAATCCTTACTGCCTTGATGTTACTGGGAGATAAAAAATGTATTGGATTTTCCTTATCTGAAGAACTGCAGCTGAAGACCTGAAGTGAAAAACTTCTAATCAAGTTCACTGATATTGGGTTGTGAGGAAAGAGGTGACAGGGTAGAACAGAAATCCCTTTTAAAGTAGTAGGCGAGTCCTTTCTAATTGTGGTTGATAATGACAGAAAGTCTCTATCTGAGCTATTTCAGTGAATTGTAAGAAATAGATAAGTCTAGTTTCTCAGAGCTCTTTGGGAGTTCTTCCTGGAAATTACACTTGGAAGGAAGTGATTGATGAAACAGACAAAGCAAGAAATACAAGGGAGTAAAGAAATGCTGAAAGCCTCAAGGACAGGTGCCCGCAAACATTGTGTTTGTAAGTGCTATATTTTCTAAATGGACAGCTTTCCCTGCTCTTCATCCTTCATGTGGTTAACGTGGTCAGAGTTTGGGGTTGTTTTAATTTCTGCTAATTGAATGCAATGGAGTTGGATACAGTCTGGCTTTCATGACCTTTCGCAGTCTGGATGGTGAGTTCTTTGAATTAATACTCAACGTATGCTTGATAAATGAACTAAAAAAAAAGGAAGGCAACGTGAAGTTCCTGGAGGCATGTCACTGGTTTTCATCTGATCCATAGTTCAGGTGTTGGAGCAGTCACTAGAAGAGCTAGCAATCAGCTTTGGATTTACCCTATAGAAGAGAAGTATGGTAGTTTCCCAGTGGGTAGTATCTGAGCATGACCTCTGTTTTGTTTAATCATTATTTTCTAGTTAGTTATGCTGTGTTTTCTTCTTGATAATTTTCACCTGTAAAAAAGAACATTATTTTTAAAATCCTTTTTCTTGGATTGAAAAGTTAGTAAAGATGGGAGGCTAATAAAGATGAAGTTCCTTTGTTGAAGCAGCCCTAAGAAGTCTGTTGGAAATTTTCTCCATTCTCATAACTTTTCCAACAGAAAATGATGATTTGAATGTAGTTAGATGAAGGTGCTGCCTTCATATTACAGTGAAGGTCTCAGTATAAATGGACCAGTAAGTATATAGAAGTTTCACTTCTGCTGTGCTACTGGGAGGGGTTTGTGGGGCTTAGCAACATGGAAACAGGAGTTTTCATAATCCAAATGGAGGGCATGAACAAAATCACTTGCACTGTTATTCATACATGAATCCAGAATTGTTTGTTTGGGGATATTCTACCTCAGCAAGGCCAATTTGCTTCAGTTCCCTTAGTGTCTTAATCCCAAAACTGAAAATACCACAATATTTGAACTTTATGGTCTAAACTAGACCTACAAACAACACGCAGAAATATTTTCAAACTTCTTTATTGAGAAGCAACATAGAACCAGCATATATCAAATAACAGTCTACTCACCCAAAGAAAAAAGGTTCCTTCAGTACTGGAACTAGTAAGGTTTAGTTTCCTGCTGACTTATTTTGTTGCCATTCTGATCACTGTACATCTAGTTTTTTTCATGCTTTTCTAGGGTTTCTCCTTTTTATTTTTTTTATATATCTTTTAAATTATTTTATTTTTTTCTCTCCAAGAATTTCCCCACTCACCTTCCCTTTCTCTTTGACAAGGCAAGTAGCAGCATGTGTTAGGCTTCGGTGTTGTCAGGAATCGAAGAGGCTTGAATTGCTTTTTCATTTGTAGGGCTACTAAACTTTGTACTTTGAATACCACTACCCTTCTCAAAATTAGATTGAAACTGGAAGTATGTTACTTAGGGGTTGTATTTGTAGCTCAGTCTCTAAAACATCACTTCCCTATGAAACAAGTCTTCTGTTTAAAAAAAATATATATAATCAAGCAACTGTAGCTATTTAATTGCAAGAGCAATCATGAGTTCCAATTAAATTTATATTTAGTCAAACAAGCTTAACTAATCACAGTATCTAGACAACAAGATTCAAAGTAGATGCAATTCATTCTCCTGAGTTTCCATGTCAGTTTTTAACATCAAAGGCGTTTTCTGTTCCACCTGTTGTATCTCAAAGATCTCCACTGATATACAGGGGAAGGTAACTTTTATCAGAGAAATCACAGAATTGTTTGAGTTGGAAGGGACCTTAAATATCATCTAGTTCCAGCCCCCCTGCCATGGGCAGGGACACCTCCCACCAGACCAGGTTGCTCAAAGCCCCGTCCAACCTGGCCTTGAACCCTTCCAGGGAGGGGGCAGCCACAGCTTCTCTGGGCACCCTGTGCCAGTGTCTCACCACCACCACAGTAAAGAATTTCTTCCTAATATCTAACCTAAATCTGCCCTCTTTCAGTTTAAAGCCATTATTCTTTGTCTTATCACTACACACCCTTGTAAAAAGTCCCTCCTCACCTTTCCTATAGCCCCCTTTAAGTGCTGGAAGGCCGCTATAAGGTCTCCTCGGAGTCTTCTCTTCTCCAGGCTGAACAACCCCAACTCTCTCAGCCTTTCTTCATCAGGGAGGTGCTCCAGCCCCCCGATCATCTTTGTGTCCTCCTCTGGACTCATTCCAACAGGTCCATGTCCTTCTGATTTTGGGGGCCCCAGAGCTGGACACAGCACTGCAGGTGGGGTCTCCTGAATGCAGATTAGAGGGGCAGAATCCCCTCCCTCGACCTGCTGGCCACGCTTCTCTTGATGCAGCCCAGGAGACAGTTGGAGTTCTGGGCTGCAAGTGCACACTGCTGGGTCATGGTCAGTTTTACATCCACTGATACCCTCAGGTGCTCCTCGTCAGGACTGCTCCCAATTCATTCTCCACTCAGCCCGTACTTGTGCTTGGAATTTGGCCTTGTTGAGCTTCATGGGGTTTGCATGCACCCACCTCTCCAGCCTGTCCAGGTCCCTCTGGATGCCATCCCTTCCCTCCAGCGTGTCACCGCTCCACGCAGCTTGGTGGTGTCAGCAAACTTGCTGAGGGTGCACTCAGTTCCACTGTCCATGTTGCCCACAAAGATGTTAAACGGCGCTGGTCCCACCACCAACCCCTGAGGAACACCCCTCGTCACTGCTCTCCACTTGGACATTGAGCAGTTGACCGCGACTCTCTGAGTGCGACCATCCAGCCAGTTCCTTATCCACCGGGTGGTCCACTGGTCAAATCCATGTCTCTTCAATTTAGAGACAAGGATGTCGTGTGGGACAGCGTCAGAAGCTTTGCACTAGCCCAGGCAGATGGCATCCGTTGCTCTTCCCCTCTCCATCAGTGCTGTAGCCCTGGCATAGAAGGCCACGTGATTTGTCAGGCAGGATTTGCCCTTGGTGAAGCCCTGTTGGCTGCCACCAGTCACCTCCTTGTTTTCCATGTGCCCTGGCACAGTTTCCAGGAGGATCCATTCCATGATCTTGCTGGGTACAGAGGTGAGACTGACTGGACTGTAGTTCCCCAGGTCTTCCTTTTTTCCCTTTTAAAAAAGAAGGGGTTCTATTTCTCCTTTTCCAGTCAGCGGGAGCTTTACTGGAACTGCCATGACTTCTCGGATGTGGTGAATAGTGGCTTGGCCACTTCATCCACCATTTCCCTCAGGACCCGCAGATGCATCTCATGAGGTCCCATGGACTTGTGCACCTTCAGGTTCCTTAGATGGTCTCCAACCTGATCTTCTCCTACAGTGGGCTGTTATTCCTTCTCCCAGTCCCTGCCACTGCCTTCTGTGACGGGCGGTGTGGCTGGAGCACTTGCCAGTGAAGACTGAGGCAAGTAAGTCATTAAGTACCTCAGCCTTCTCCATATCCCAGGTAACCAGGTCACCTATTTCCTTCCAGAGAAGGCCCACATGTTCCCTAGTCTTCCCCTTTTCACCAACTTAGCTATGGAAGCTTTTCTTGTTGCCCTTGACATCCCTGCCCAGATTTCATCCTTTCAGGGCTTTAGCTTTCCTAACCTGATCTCTGGCTGCTTGAACAATTCCTCTGTATTCTTCTTAGGCTACCTGTCCTTGCTTCTACCCTCTATATCAACCTGTAATATACGGAATATAGTGAAAATTGCACAAAACGAAATGACCAGTTGCATTGTCTATTTTTTTAATTGGATTTGTTATTTATATGTTAGTATAATGTAAATCAAAATAATGGTTTGCTGCCACTCTCTCCTGATTGATCTGTGAATCATACACAGCGGTATGTAGACACTTGAGTTTGCTTTTGAAATGTTTCTGGTATCTGATGATGGGAATGCCCCAGTGCCCTGGACTGCTTTTAATAGCAACATCTAAAGAAATCCAATACATGCATAGAGTCCCAGCCTGTTGGGACAGGCAGTGGTGTTCTCCTGCCTCGTTGAAATAATGTCATCTTTCAAATTACGTATGCATCCTGAGTCACCTAGGCAGTGTTGGCCTCCCACCATGCTTAAGTTCCTCCACTGTCTTTCCTGGGCATTGGTAATTTGCATGCCTGGGTGTAGCCTGGCAGACACAGATGGTAAATGATAATGTTCTGGGATCAGAACTAGCTGCAAATGACAAGTGGCAGGTTAGTTCAGTGCTAATTAGTTTCCTTTGGAAACTGGCTACCTAGTTACCTTCTCTCTGCCCACATTTGTATGTCTCTTCATAGGATGGCTGCCTTGCTGCTACCACTCCTTCAAAGGGAACACTGCGAGTAGAAGGTAGGGGTAAAATGAGTGAAAAGGAAAGGATGCAGGCACATCCAGGAGAAGAGGGAAGACAATAGGCAGAGTAGGGTGGAAGTAAGATGCCTAATATTGGTATTTTTTCCACCCCAAGAGAGGGAAGACTGACCTTCGTGGTAGGGCAAAGAAAAACTCTGGATTGTCACTTTCCAGGGCAGCCAGCTCTGACGCAGTTTTGGCCATCTGAGGTTATAGAAGTCTGCATAGTGCTCCCTCCCTCGCCCTCAGCGCATTTACAGGTGCTTCTTGAAATAGTGATCTCTGTGTGATCCACACTCTCCCTTAAATAAATAAAAATGAACTCTAACACCCACACTAGACAAGAACACATGCTTAGCATACATATGCGTGCATTCTTCAGTATTGATGCTCTTGGCCACTTCTTATCTGTCTTCCAGCCCAGATCACTACTATGTGAATGCACCACGGGAAAGAGTTCCTTTTAAGTCCTTGCACCAGTAAAAACTTTTGCATGGCAAATCCATGAATTCTGTCTTTAGTTCTGGAGGACAAAAGCTGGAATAAACTCTTCTACTGTCTTTATTTGCTCTTACACTGGGTTTCTGTTTAAAGATCATTTTTATTTTGCAGGTATTTTGAAAAACAGTTTGACCTGTCGGAACAGACACAACTGCCCATGTTTCTCCACTGTAGGAACTCGCATGCTGAATTTTTAGGTGGGTTTTGTTTGAGAATTACATATTCAGAACAAATTCTCATTATGTAAAATCTGGAAACCTGAATCTTTCACTTTTATCTGTTATAAAGCTGTCTTACAATTTTATTTATTTTGTTTCATAGACATAATGAGAAGAAACCGAGATAGATTTGTAGGAGGGGTGGTAAGTATAGACTTCAGTGTAGTATTCATTTTTATATGCCTGTGTGTGAATATTGTTGCTTAATATGCAACTTCTCGTGTATCATGGAATCTTGGTAAGCTTTCTGTTATGTGATTTAAGTTGTTGTTAATTAGTGTTTTCCAGTCCCTTCTAGTATTTTTATTTTCATTGTGTATTCGACAGGTTTTTTGCAAGGTAAGAAGATAGGCTGAGAAAAAGCTCTGCAGCTGACATGGGCAGTTTTTCTTGGCCTGTCAGAAGGACAGTTTAAGCACCTTTTAATTGACATTGGCCTTTTCCCAATTCGTCAGTGTCTGTAACTGCAGTGCATTCAGACCACAGATAATTTAGATGCATGTTCCCAGTGGAAGCCGTAACCTCAAACATTTGCTTTTGACGTTAGACATCATTTTCAAATTAGATCCAGATGTAACTTTTGATTACTTTATGTCTTTAGATATTCAGATCATGTATTTTAATTCACAAGCATAAGAGGAAAAACTTTGGATTAAATGGTTGGGAAAGCCCAGCAACGCTCTCTCATGTTTCCATTCTGGCAGGGTTTTCCAAAAGTAATAAATTCTTGGATTACTCTATTCTACTAATATCACCACACCTCCTATAATAATATCTCAGTCTCCAGGTTTCCCCTTTGTTACCCTAAAAACCTCCCCCTAGCTCAGTATGTTGCATGTTGCGCTCTTACATAATACCGTACAGTCTCTCCTTCCTTTCTTTTTTCTGCAAAACGGGCAATTAGTGGAGAACTGACGAGCAGGCGCCCTCTGCACCTGACTGTCCCCCTCACAGCATGGGGAAGCAGACAGTCGTCCTTGCTCCCCTTAGGCTGAGACGCTGCTTGGACACTGTGACCTGCCACTTGCCTAGTTAGTCCCTGGGATGCCCAGCTAGGCTGGCGCTCTAGGTCCAGTGGGCTAAAAGCTGCAGAGAACGTAACACAGCTCTTACTCTGTCCCTGACAGTGCCCTGTGGGGAGTAATGAGGAAAGAATGTAAAAACTCAGCGTGCACAGTGCCTGTGTATGGTCTCCCAGCTATCAGCTACAGGAAGTTCCTGGGCCAGAAGCAGTATTGCTGGATAGGCCTTTTCTACATCTATTTATCACTAATCAAATGTGGTAACCACTTCTGTTGCAGTATTCAAGTGACTTCAGCCTGAACTTTGCCCAAATTCAGAATCATGTGCCAAATTCAGAATCAACTAAGCCATGCCCCATCTCTGTGTTTGTATTGATGTGCAATGCATACTATCAAAGGTATTTATGATGCAAATAAAAACTTACACATACTTCTACATGATTGGTGGCTTAAATGAAGTACATATATTTGTATATATGTGTGCATCTATATTTATGTATGTTCTAGGTACATTCTTTTGATGGCACAAAAGAAGAAGCAGCAGCTATAATAGATTTGGATCTTTATATTGGAATAAATGGCTGGTAAGTTCTTTACGAGAAATAAAACTATCTTTAAGTATCAGCTGTAGTGATCTCATTGCTTTCTTTTAAACAATGAGATCAGGTTTTCAAAGCTCACTAGACACTTAATCATCTGACAGATTTAGAATTGCACTCATTAGTCTGTTAGCCATAAAACGTTCTTAACTCACAGCTCAGTGAGTTAATCTAGTCTTAGGTCCATTCTACTGCCCTCAGGTCAATCCTTGTTTGTAAATAAATAAGGTTGTTGAATGTGGAGGCAGTCCCTCTGCGAAGTGTTTAAAAAATAGCATCATTTTAAGCTGCCATGTCAAATCCAGGAGTAATGCAAATGTAACCTGAGCAGCCACATCTACTGGTTACGCAGTCTGAATTTTCAGCAGTCATCTGGCCCAGAGCCACCCAGCACCGCTCTGTAAGCTGCACGGGTTGCCGAGGCCAGGCGAGCACGGGCGCTGCAGGCAGGGGTTCTGCGTGCTTGCTGGGGTGAGGCAGCTGCACTGAGTAGCTCTCCAAATTTGCTCTTTTCTGCAAAGTTTAAATTTACAGGGAGCACTTTTAAAAAATGAAGACAATTTTATTCACTAACAAAATTATTTAGGAAGCTGCCTTTGCTGCAAAACTTTTCAACAGGAAAAGTAATTACTTTTAGATACTTTTTATGTTTTTTTAACCAAACTCTAATTTTCTAGTTCATTGAAAACGGAAGCCAACTTAGAAACATTGAAATCGATTCCTAGTGAACGATTAATGATAGAGACTGGTAAGATTTTATGTCTTTGTCAGTTTGTGACTTAAACACTATTTATTGGGCAATGGGATATGCTTGTATAGCAATGATGAGGCAGAATCAAGACCTAAGGAGTTCAGAGAAGAAATAGGACTGGCTCTTTCTCCACTTTGGAAAGCCGCTTACGGGCTCCAGGAATACTTCTTTTCAGCCTTCTGCTGGAAGGAATAAGCCGCTGTCTCATTTCCTGACATTGCAGGGGAAGATAAAAAGGACAAATTGACAAGCCCAGATTTTTAAATGTACATAGGTACTAGAATCTTGCGTGAATATCTTTTAAAATCTGGCTTGCTGGAGATGTGCCAGGCACCGGGCAATGGCTGTGAGTTTGCCACTGGAAGCATTAATGGCATTTGGAAACAGCAGCTCTTTAAATGGACTAAGGTGGAAGAACACTTCAATTCCCCTCTTGGCCTACTGAGCAGTAATTTTAATTGACTGACTGGGGATGCCTTTTGGGGGTAGGGGGGGCAGGGCACGTTAATTTCAATTATCAGTACATGGCAGTTAGAGTATTTATTCTAATCTGTGAGTATGAGAAAGGAAAACCAAAAACTGCCTAAATCCTTAGATTTACTTGCACATGAAGTACAGACCTGTTAAAGTACACAGGAAGCTTCTGCAGAGCGCACACAGTGTACCTAGCTATGGTCATCACATCAGAGGAAATTAGTGTTGTGTACTGATATTGCCAGTTGTTTAAAATGTAAAGTCCTGAAGGTAACGGCATAAAAATCGCAAGGTTGTGAAGATGTTAAATTGCCCAAATCTCTTAAATTGCATTTTGAATCAGAAGTCAGTGCTAGAGATTGCAAGAACTCTTGTCTGTGGAAGTAGTTGATTAAACTATCTCATGCTATTCTCAGATGATTGCATACTTTTAATTTTTTTTTTTTTTTTCAAATGAAACTAGACGCGCCTTGGTGTGGAGTGAAAAATACTCACGCTGGATCTAACTACATTAAAACTACATTTCCTACAAAAAAGAAATGGGAAATTGGGCACTGCTTGAAGGACAGAAATGAACCCTGCCATATAATGTGAGTGTACTGCTGTACTGTTCTTTAAAATACTTCACTTCTCACAGGGAAAAAAATTGGAAAAATCAGTTCACTGGAAATGTATCGAATAGAAATTAATTTAAATGTACTGAAACTTGTGCAAGGTGTTGCTTTATAGGTTGTGGAAAAAAAGAAAGTCTTAATTTTTCCACTTCAGCAATTCGGGATGTAAAAAGCTCCTGAAAGTGAAACCAGTACCATTCTTATCTTTTCGGTTGATACATTGGAGAAAGGGTAAAATCCTGTAATCTGACTTGAATAAATTTCACTCAGTTGCTCTTCCAGTTATTTTTAAAGCTGACACAGCGCAGGAGCTCTGCAGTCCTCTGCGGTGGGCAGTGCCTCTGTTTGCATCACAGCTCCTGCAACATCAACTGCCGGAACGTGAATTTGGTTAGAATCATTTCTTCCTTCTGCTGCTGTGCCTACAAAAAATTAAGCTTCACATAACACTGTGATCTGTGAGGTTTAGATGTGAGGAACAGCAGTCAGCATAGAGAATAGCAAAAGAAAACTCCAGTGGCTTGTGGACAGAGTTAGAAGCACAGAAACCGTTTTCATGTGCTTCCTGGCAGAGGTATGGAAAGCAGGGAAAGGTATCATTGCTTTAGTGAAAATGTTTATCTCCATTAAATAGCACTGATGGATTAAATGCCTGAAATATCACAACTGTTACTAAAGTCTGCTCAGTGAGTTACACCAATCTTCTTGGTCATCTTCTTGTTACCAACTCTCTGAAAAGAAAAAGGAATTTGGGAAGGTTTCTTCTTGCAGTGTAGTACATGAATGCATTTTCAGCAGGTAAAGCTGACAGCTGTACCTATCCAGGTGCAAAGCCTGTTTATTTGGGCTTTTTTTTTCTTTTTAGTCTGTATGTGTATCTATGAAAAGCTATGTAAATTACGTGTTTGGAACTAGCTTTTGAAATACTGCACAGGACAGTAGTAAAGACTCTATAGCTATTCAGCAAGGTGTCTGATCAAGGGTAAGAACTGAAGAAAAGTTCTGCTGCTTTATTTGGAGACCTGAAGAAACTTTTAGAGAAGACCACTGATCATGCTGAAAGCACAGTTTTAGCTTACATGGTGACATCTCCTAGCGTTCAGAAATATTTTATGCTGTTACATTGATTTGGAATACGTTCTGAAATTGATTTTGTTTTAGACATTGTCCTGGGTTGACAGACATGAAGCACACACATTAGCATGGAAGGGCTCTTTCAGTATTTTAAGACTTTCTGGGGTAGTCCATTTTGGAGTAGGTGAAGGAACCAAGTGAGAACAGTTTTCTAATCACAAGTGGAAAACCTCTACTGTTACTGCATAAGGCTATTTGGCAAGCCTGTGTGTGTTACCTGCACCTCCCATGTCTGTCTGCAGTGTACAGAAGTGTTTCAGAGACCCCAAAACTGGAAATGCAGGGAGTCTGTCCTAGAGCAGTACACAAATGCTACAGTTTGGCTTTTGCTTTCTTTTATAAACCAAAATCTTATTCAGTTCAACCTTATTTTAAAATTGCTGGCTTTTTAAAACATTAGTTTTAACCTGTACTAATTGTAGACTAGTAACCTGAGAACCTCTTAAACCTTAGGAAAAATTAAGTATGGTAACTGAGAATTGATATTTTGTGACTTCTCAAGTAGCAGGATCAGGTGTGAGGGAAAGTTAGACTCAGGCCACAAAGCATATTTAATGTTTAGGGTATATATACTGTTTGATATAGCTCAGTTAGCAGGAGAAATTTTCCACTTGTCTTTTTTTGGTGGTGCTGGACACCTCCCAGTTTTGATAGCGGGTGATATTTCTGCTTATATGTATTTTCAGAACTGCATTTGGAAGCTATTTTTTTGTTATTTTAGCCACAAGATACCTTTTTTTTTTCCTTCCTTCAGTGATTTCATATACAGTGTTATAGTAACATCTAGCATTCTGCTGCATCCAAGTGGGGACAGATATGCAAGTGCTACCAAGATGCTTCAGGGGTGAAATTCTTTGGTGTTTGTAACTGATCTCACCCCATCTCATCTGGAAAGTCCCCTTAAAGCAAGAAACTCTTTGGCTGCAAAGCACAGGAGTGGTCATGAAATGGCTAACTCTGCATCTAAGAAAATATTTGTATTCCAGTAGTTAAAAGCAACTTGTTCTACTCTGTTTTCCTCAAAAGGAAGTTGAGCCACAGTGTAATTTAAGAGGCAAGATCTAAAAACCAAAACCACCCAACCCTAGCGCCAGGCTTAAGGCTCTTACTCTGTGCTGTGACAGTTGGGGTTTTTTTCTACTACTAGAAAAAAATGAAATTATTACTTGTCTTAGGAATGTATAGAATATTTGGTTTTTTCAGCATGACTGATACAAAAATCAAGAAAATAAGTACAGAAATAAGATTGCGGCTTGAGTTTCTGTTACATAGTGCTAATACTGTTCATCCCAGTTCTTTAGCCTCCTTTTCCTAGCTTGTATTAAGGCTACGGGTTTGTCAAATTGCTCATTTAAAATTACTGCAACTATCTGAATGTGTTAATCACAATTAATCTAGAGAATTGGGGAAGCAGGAATAAGTTAGTTTGTCAGCTGTACTCTCAGATAAGGCTGAATCTGGAATTTAGGCTTTGCCATAGACCAGTTTATTCATAGTGCAGCTTTAGCCTTGAAAGGCTAACAAACTTCAGTCTGAAAAATAAAGGCTATTGATAAAGACACCCACAAAATGACACTTTCTTTGAAACAGAAAGCTGTTTAATTACCTCCAAACAAGAGTCAAAAGACCAAAGATGAATCTGTACCCGTGAGCAACCAGTGTTCAGTGTAAAGGGAATGGCAGTTAGTGACTTAAAAGTGAAGCTATTTGCGTACCTGAGCACCTTGCCCTGTTGCTCTTGGCATAGGTTTGTACATACACATGCAGCAGTCTGAAGAATATTCAGTACCGAGCTTCAGTCTTCTAATACCAATCTTTCTTTTTTAGTCAAATACTGGAAATAATGGCGGCAGTAAGAGAAGATGACCCACTTGAGTTGGCCAATACTCTCTATAACAACACTATTAAAGTCTTCTTTCCAAATATATAGTCATTTTTCTTACATTATTCAGTGTAACTTCAGTAAATATATTGCAAAAACTTAAAAATTACCATATCTGCAAGTTCTTATCAATGGAAGCCAATATGTAGCGCTCTTTTTTTTTTTTTATGATACAAGATTAAAGCTGCTTTCGAAAAGGTGGCCTGCATTGGTGCAGTTTCTCAGCCCTGTTTCCCCTTCATCAAGATTCAGGATCAATTTCAAGGGTGGCCCAAGCTCGCAACTCCTGTTAATACCTGTATGCATTACAAGATGATTACCAGGCTGCCGAGTTCACATGTAGAGCACTTCAAGCTATGACTGGTAATTCAGAAGTGTTTAACACATCACTGGCATGCTTTGCTACTTCATCACAAAGCTTAGCAGTTTCATCTTTTGTTCCACATACGCAAATGCTGTAACATTAAGTCTACCAACCTAATTTTTTATTTATTTTATTTTCTAAAAACACAACTCACTAGTTTTTAGCAATAAAGCTCTGCTAATACTGAATCTGTAAGTAAAGCTGCTTTGGTTCAGGCTCTGCGTTTCTGATTTGACCCGCTGAACAGTCTGTTTTCACCAGTATTTTTCATTTGCATTCAGAACTCACTGATAAGGGGTTACTGGTATACAGTCTTTGGCACAGCATCGTCACTACATCAATTAAAGAGTGTTTTTCCAACCATCTTAAAAACATGTGAAAACATTTTATTCCATGTACAATAATGTACATAATTTTAAGGTGGCCATGAAAGAGACCAGCAAAAATTAGAGGTATATTTACAGTAGCACACACCACAGTAAACAACCACCATTCACAGACTCAACACTGAGATACTGCTGTTGTGCTTAAGTACAATAACTACAAAGTGATACTTTTATCCTGTTGAAGTCAATCTTAAACAAATACCTCATGGCTTAGTAAGGGCATCTTAATCACCGAGAGAGTTAGAGTCAACATTAAGAGTCTCATTCAAGTGCTGTGCCACACACTCATCATCTTCCTCATCGCTATCAGAACTGTCATTATCTTCATTTAATTCATTTTCAGCATCAGCAGCTTCTTCTGCAACTCGGACAGGATTTTCATTTGGTGCCACAAACCCGTTGTTGTTAGAGACACTGGCATTTTCCTTGTCCTCAATATACACTTTCTGATGGCACATTGGGCAAGTGTCCTGAATGTACAGCCACTTCCGAAGACAAAGTGCATGAAAGTAATGGTTGCAAGGAGTAATGCGAGCAGAGGTGGTGAACTCATGGTAGCAGATTGCACAGACATCATCTATTTCATGTAACCGACTTCCTTTTACCTCTGGAAGCGAGTTTATTTTCTTAACAGCAGTCCGGCGATTTATAAAAGTCTTCCAGCCATTCTTTGCTTGCAAGTAGATGTTGAAGTATGCGTGTAGACACATCATGCATGCGCGAATCTTGCTTCCCGATTCAAAAACCATCGTGTAAGCCCCATTTCCAAACATGATCACTCCAAATATAAACTCAATGATATTGCCAGTTGAACGAACATAATAGACATAATCATCAAGTTTTTCCCATAGCACATTATAGTAGCCATCAATCATAAACAAGATATAAACTGTGATAGAAACTATGACTTTTAGGCAAAGCTCTACACAGAAGGCTGTAACTGCAAAAAGCCACGTATTTAGTGCATAGTGGTGCCAGAGGATGTAACTGAGCAGAACTGGAAGAACGAAAAGGCAAGCGGAAACGAAGAGGACGGGGAAGTGTCTGCGAAATGATGACACGTGGGAGGCACTGAGAGACATCAGCACAGGGTCTGTCATCCCATGGATAAAATGCAGGACTGCGGTCAACAAAAGGCACATGTTTCGACTCAGGCGAACTAATCGTTCTTCTGGCTTCAGTCCACTCAAACCAGTCTGCAGAGCCAAAATGAAAAACAAGACGGGTGCTACAAACCCAAGCCTTTTGTCGTCTTCATCAGTTGATCCAATAAAGGCCAGGATCCCAAGTCCCAAATAATGCGCTATTGAGGAAATGACGGCACTCATGCCTAACACAGTTAAAGTAGAGTCACACCCACTTATGATCAGACTACAGATCAGCTCCCAGCAGTTATCCCACGATATCAAGAATTTTGCTTCTGTATTAGATTCAGCCATCTTTACAACGTATGTTAATACCACAGCTTGTGCTGTAAGTCTCGTTAGCCAGAAGACACGCAGTACAGCTGGAAACCGAATCCTTCTCCATGTATCTTCCATCAGTAACTGTAATCCATAAATGCGATACATGTGCCTCACCAGCAGATAAACGTATCGCACCGAATAATAGAACCATTTAATTTTCGTAACTAAAATGACTGTGGTATTTAGTGTCAGAACCAGGCCAGAAATAAAAACTAGTATCTGCCGGACGTTTAAAGGTAATTCAACAATCAGGCCGATTACAGGAATCAGTATATCCAGGATGATAAGTTGAGAGTGCACGGACTGCACGTTTAGCAATGTCACATAGCCAATGCCAAAGGTAAGCTGAAGGATGGAAAGTGCCATCCATAGCGAAGGTCCTTTATGAGGGAAGATCTGAATTCCGAATGTGGCTGTGTAGTAGGCACTGTAGAAGTTTATGTGCAAAGCAGCATAGTAATTCACCAACACTGAAGTCGCAGCCAGCAGAAATGCTGAGGCAATCATATAAAACTTGAAAAGTGCTCGCTGTTGTAAGACCAGAACAACACTGGATACAAAGACACCTAAAAACAGATTAAAATCATTTAGTTCTCAGCAGGAATTCAACAACCGATTTTAACCTATTAGCTTCGGAGCTACATTTATTTAATGTATCGCTTCCCAGTTAGTCACTCGTGACTTTGCATTACTGATGGTGCCCTTTTCAGACAAGAGGACAGCTTAATCGCTGCATTTAATACATCTGTGCAGTGCAGCTGCAATGCAAGGCCAACGCAAGCACTAAGTCACAATTACTGCTGAACTCTTCTGCGGTTTCAGACTAGAGCAGTGACAACTCCCAGCCTTTCAGCCTTACTCCTCAAATCTAAGGGTAGACAAGTTCTAAAAGCCATAAAGAATTACCAGATACAGCATCATCTTTATAGGCAAAGTTAATAAGGAATAAACAAGCAAAATTTACTAAATCCCTTAATCCACTTGAGCAAAGCACTCAACTAGAGATGTCCAAGCTGGAGTACTGACAGTAACAGTCACCAAAACACTTTAGCTAAACCCTTTAGCGGAAGAATGGTGAAAAATTGGTGTAGTTTACTGGGGAGATGGCATTCTTCTTCCACTTCCTTTCAGTTTGCTTTCATTTTTGACAAGGCATCCTGAAACAAAAGTCTCAAGGAAAAGACCATCTGCAGTATGAAGCTTTTGTACACACAATCCAGAAATGCACCAGCTGCCTCCCTGCCAACGCCAGTGCAAACCCGTGTCTTACTTGTTAGAAGTCGGATTTAGATCTTGAAATTCCTGTTTGCTAACCTTTCCCTCACACTGACCATGAACACATCTTGACCATGACTGGAAATTCTGCACCTTCCTATGAGGAATCCTACCACAGCATCTGTAGTACCTTGGTATTACGTTTATGACATTGCAGTAAACTTCTGCAGTGTAGCTTATGAATTTCATCACTATGTACTCCATTTGTAAGGGCCCTGCCCTAACAGGTGTTACTAGGTTTGCTTCCTTAAACATCTTTTTCTTCAGGAAACACACTGCCTCTGTTTGGGGCTTCTCAGTCACCTTCCAGTCTATGCAACTGCTTTCTTATCTAAAGCAGTCTGGAGAGATTTTGATCTCTGTAACTTGTATTTGATTTTAAGTTGCTTTCAATCTCTGTACTAAATCTAACAAAATCACAAGTCATCTTCTTTCAACTGGTGGATAGCATCGGTCTTTTCTGACAATTGTATTTTAGATTGTTCCTAATCCTCCATAATCAAGTGTTTAAAAAAAATATTTTAAGCCATGGTATCTTCATCATGGGAATAGAAAAATTTGCTAAGAATCAGCATTTGATTCCACTAGTAGTGTTGGCAGCTGCCTGTATCAAGAAAAAGTCCAAACCAAACCAATAAAAAAAAAAAAAAACAAAAACAAAAAACAAACCAACCCAAACAAACAAAAAAACCAAACCAACACAACACAACCAATCCTACCCCCCACCAAAAACCCCAAACACCAGCCTGGAGGACTAGGAAGGGAAAGGGTCAACATGAATCAACAGCAAAAGGTAGACTACAAAAAAAAAAGCTATTAAGGCACCTTAACAGTACTCCTTGCCAGCAGCACTGGCTGATATAAAAACATTCTCCTTAACTAATCATTAACCTAGTAACCTTGTGAAGTGGACAGAGGAAAAGCCTCGATCAGTTTTCAGCAAGTGCCTTGTATCACAGCTCAGTTCTTCCATGAACAGCCGGGTATTCCTTACATACAGCACTTTTTTTAAAAAATAAGCTGGCCAGCTCCATTGCCTTGTCACGCATACCACCATCGACACCTTCGGGAAAGCTAACGCTGCTGACAAGTTGGTGCCGTTTGTCTTTTCTCACAGGTCACAGAACAGGCTCCAATGCCTGTAACAAGCTCATTATTTACCAAAGTCTGGTCATCTGAGCCAAATGAGATGCATTTTGCACTAAGCAAGCTGCTCTGAAACACGCCTGTTAACAAAACCTATTTTTCTTCCTTGCAGTTGCACTAACAGGCCTGTATTCAGATGCTATAGGTCATCTTAAAACACTGGCATTTTGCATGCAAGAGACATCCCTAAAAACAGTACTACAATGAGTCAACCTGCTGGTTCCTCTAAAGAGAGACTAACAAAAGGTAAAGCGTTTCCCCCTCAACACTTCTGTGGGAAAGTCAAGACACCCTCCCCCCCCACCCCCGCACAGGAACCTCAAAAGACCACAGGAGGTGACTCAAATCTGGGGAGGTGAGGTGAGCACTCCTCTCCCCCGTCTCCATTTATGTCGTTCAGTCCATCTTGCCAGGACAAGGCTTCCCCCTGCCCGGCGAAGTGTTCACCAAACAGTAAATCTTTTCCCATTTTCCCTCCAATAGGAAATGCTGCAGCTCCTCCTTTGATACAGTTTGTCTCATGTTTCTGTATTCTGGCTCATCTTTACTGTTCCTATCTCTGCA